CATATGCAATTGTCCTTTTGGAACAATATTTGGAATAACTAGAACAATCTGTAACGAGAATAAATTGTTTTATTATTCAAAAAAGAGGGGCTGGCAAAAAATCGTTTTTTGCATTTTATTGGATAACGTTTTAGAATAAAATGATATCGCTTTGGAACAATGTAGAACAAACTCTGAACAATCTGGAACAATTGTCAAAATTTTAATTTTCAAAAAAAGGGGGGCTAACTTCACACCACCCATAAAAACCATGGATGGAGTGTTGTCCGCTAGTAGTAATACTAGGCCGGTTCTAACCCAGGTCTTCTGTGGGGGTTGCGGGACATGGGGAGGTACTCATTGGCGCGGGGTAGGAGGAGGAAGACGCGGGGAAGTCCCGGCGCTATCAATGTTTACCGGTATCAATGATACATATCGCCATGTTGTGACGTCACGTATCATTGGGGACCGCCGCGGCCGCCGCCGCCGTGCGTGCTATCTCATATACTTATTATTTTTCTCTCGATGCGTTGCCGTCTTCTCCTACCTCTTTTTTCTTTTCGCGCTCAAAACCATTTACATGTCACATGTTATGATGATGATATCATGTATGCAATTTTGATACAATTTTGATTACAATTACGACGTTGCCAAATAGTACACATACTGATATAAATGTTAAAGATCGCTATGCATTGTGACGTTGCCAAGTAGCCTTAGAACGTATATAAATGGAAGAGGCATTGCCTATACTTCCGATGGCTCGCGCTGATGCAAACATCTGTGCGAGAGAGAAAGGTAGTAAGAGATAAATGTTCCCAATGCGCATGCACAGTATCACATTTTACACATCTGTGTAATGTACGAATGTGTAAAAACACTAAACCAACTGCACAATTTACACAGATGACGGTGCTGCGCATTGCGAACATTTATCCCTTACTACCTTTCTCTCTCGCACAGATGTGGCTTCACGTTCAGTGCCCTATGTCCTTTCCATTTATATATGTTCTAAGCAAGTAGTGTACATAATCAAATTTTTCATGTACATTCGACATGGTACAACATGTCACAGCATATTCGAGCGGTGACATCATCATCATCAATGTATTGTGATACAAATGTCACGTGACCAAGTAAATAGTATAGAAGAAGATAAATTTTAACCTACGAATTGCGCGCGTTTATTTTCATATTTGTTATTAATTCTTTTTTTCTTACATATACTTGACATCGACTGTATCAACTAGTCGACCTAATCGTTCGAACGTTACATCGATACATCCGTCAAACTTAAACATACGGCGTAGCGTCGTTTCGGTCATCGTCATGCGTACGGACGAAGAATCGAGACATATGAGCGTAGCATCGTTCAACATGCAAACCCTAACGGTTAGCGGTCCAACGCTTATAAAATTGTACTTGTATTCGTTTCGCAGCATCTGTAAATATTCCATCGCTGCTCGTAGAGGCCCTTTCACGTTTCGAGAAATAGCGACAGTTCGTATTCGCGATGATCTCCCAGGGCGATCTTCACGTGACTCGACGGACCAACGCTGATTCCAATTTCCAAATACTTGTAGCCCGTAGCCGTCAAGTTGTAACATCTGCTCAGTAAACGCACCGCGCGATGCTCCATGCTGTGTGCGTACGTAATGTTAAAAACGTTTTTTGTGTATAGAACGTCAAAACTTACATGTTACTGCAGTCCTTCTTCGTTTCGTACGATGCGTTGCTCTCTTTGGCGAAGTACATTTTCAACCGTTCGTACAAGTGAGTATCGTACCGTAAATTGCGACGTATATAGTAAAACTTCTAGAATCGAAAAGGGGATAACCCCTCCCCCCTTTTTTTCCAAGAATTGCGAACGTGTCGCGACATGTTTTATCGCGTTTTTTTTCTACGTATGTTCTTTGTTCGCGAGTTTATCAATGTTGTATCGCGTCTTTCTACGTTTTCTTTGTCGCGAGTTTATTAATGTTTATACTTTATGGTTTATATTTCGATGGCATTGATGACGTTGATGACGAGCACGTTGGCGACTTTGATGTTTTTTCCCCAGGGCATTCCCAATATCTCGCTTTATCCTTCGATGGCGGTGGACTTGGCAAACTTGGCAACAAGGGACGGTACCCTTTTCGCTCGATCGATTTTCGGCGTATATATTCTTTTACTCGGTCCATGTCTTAAAGCTCGTAATTGAAGCTTACAATTGAATGAAAAAAGCCTTATACACTGCCCATATACATTGCATATATGCACTGCCAGATCGGACATGTCGCGACGCGTTTAACAAAAGCATCGATGTTTCGGATACATACATTCATACATACATACAGACATACGTTCATACATACATACATATATATATATATATTTCATTCTTATATTTTTATTCCATATAACTTTTATTTGAAACGCTTTTCTGTAAAACTTATATTTCCCGAGATATTTAGGTGTCCCGACCTTTTTGAACACCCTGTATATATATATATATAAGAATGAAATATTTTTTTATGAAGTACTTTTCAATGTATTGGGTTGTTCAAAAAGTCATTGCGTTTTTTTCATTTGATTTTCAGGTGTTTATTTAATATACGTAATGAACATTAATCGATGATATATTGGCCGTTTTGTTCGATGACCTTCTGCCATCTCCCGGGCAACTTCATAATACCACGTTCATAAAACTTCCCATCCTTCTCTGCGAGAAACTTGTCTAGGTGCTGTTTGATGAGGTCTTCAGAAGTAAACGTTTTACCAAGGAGTTTTATTCAAGGAGTTTTGCAAGGAGCGAAAGAGATGGAAGTCTGATGGCGCAAGGTCTGGGCTATACGATGGATGTGGTAACATATCCCAACGCAAGTTGCAACAATTTTTGCCGAGTGACCAAACTTATGTGTGGTCTCGCATTGTCGTGGTGAAACACCACACCCTTACGATTGATTAGCTCGGGACGTTTCTGTGCGATGGCATCACTTAATTTCTGCAGCTGCTCACAGTAGACATCGGAATTAATCGTTTTGTTCTTTGGAAGTAGCTCATAGAAGACTGGTCCCTTCCAATCCCACCAACAACATCACCTTCTTTTGGTGGATCCCCGCCTTTGCTTGCCTTTCCTGTGCTTCACCTCGCCTGCTCCAACTTCTTTTTCGGCTGATATTGTTGTAAACAATCCATTTTTCATCGCCCGTGATCATACGCTTCAAGAATGGATCGTTTTCTTCGCATTTGATGAGTTGGTCGCAGATGCTTATGCGATTCGTCACAGATGAATTTCTTTCAATTCATGCGGTACCTAAACATCGAGCTTCTTTACGAAGCCTAGCGATTTCAAATGGCCATGAACACTTCCAACGGACACTTTTAGAGTAGCAAGCTCCCGAACCGTTGAATGCTTATTATTGCACCAATGCTTTCATTTCATCGTCGTCAATCTTGGAAGGCCTACCGGAGCGATGAGCGTCTTTGACTGAAAAATCACCGTCACGAAATCGGGCGAATCAATTCTGGCACTGATGTTTTTTGATGACATTTCTGCCGTAAACTCGACGCAACTTTTCCCTTGCTTCAGTTGCTTTCTTCCCTTTATTGAAGTAATAAAACAGAATATGGCGAATATGCTCTTCAAAATTCTCCATGTTCGAACCACAATTGCAAGCACAAAACTCGACTGAATCGCGTCCTTTTTTTTGGTTTTTAGGTTTAGTGTCAACAACAAAACACGCGTAAACATTTGGCATTCATGTCACGCTCACATACAAATAAACGTGGACAACGCCATCAATTGGAAAAAACGCAATGACTTTTTGAACAACCCAATATAATGCTTCAAAGTTACAATATCGTCGGCATTAGCATTACCCAAAATATTTAATTTTGGAGACTGGCCAGTCAAGGCGAGGTCAGTGGTCCGTGAACTTGACCTTCAGTTAACGCACAAACAAAAACATAACGCGTGGTATTACATATCTTGGGTAATGCTAGTGCCGGCGATACTGTAACTTTGAAGCATTATATCTTGAAAAGTACTTCATGAAAAAATATTTCATTATAGCGTTTTGGAAAGCACTCGACATCAGCTATTAGATTCTTGAATCAAAAATAGGGTGGGTGGTCCATTTAAGAAAATCAATGTAACCTTGACCTGACCTTGGCTACACAACCCAAGGTCAAACTGATAGGATCAGTAAATAGATATTTTTAAACCATATAACTTTTGTCTGAAACACTTTTCTGTAAAACTTTTATTTCCCGAGATATTTAGGTGTCCCGACCTCTTTGGGACACCCTGTATACATACATACATACATACACGTTCATATATATACGTTCACATATATACGTTCATACATACATACATATACGTTGACACGTTTATACATACGTTCGAGTACATGTGTTACAAAGGAAGAGAAAAAGAAACACGTAATATATAAATACGTTAACGCATTTTTATTTGAAAATTCTTTGCAACCACCAGTTATATATTTTAAATACGTTTTGCAACGCGCAGTTCTTAACATGTTGTCCATATCGTATAATATTAGCAACATCCAGAATAGTTAAAGATTCCATGTCTTCGTACATTGCGTCCAAAGTCTCGATGTACTTGCGTTCTCGCTCATCGTCCAGAAGCAAGTTCCACAGCCACGTTCGTTTCTTGCGTCCCTTGACGTACACGATAACATCATCTTCAAATACACCCAGGTGGAAATTTACAACTGGCTTGGTACCGAGCCAGTACCACACAAAGGATTTTGGTACTGGTTAGGTACTGGCATACTGCAAGATTGACTACGGCGCGATACTGGCATTATATCGAAAGGTAACTCGGCTGGGAGTTGGCAGTTGGTACTGGGGCAGTAGAGGGATCGGTACTGGGCCGGTACAAAAAGTCTGTACTAGCATGCTATTGGCATTATACCGAAAGGTGACTCGGCTAGGAGTTGGCAATTGGTACTGGGGGGGGGGGGGGGATACTCAATCAGTATTGAGGTAGTATTGGGATCGATACTAAGATAGTATAGGTACTGAGCCTGTACAGAAAGTCTGTACTGGCATGGTATTGGCATTGTACCGAAAGCTAACTCGGTTGGGAGTTGGCAATTGGTACTGGGGCAGTACTGGGATCGGTACTGAGCCGGTACAGAAAGTCTGTACTGGCATAGTACTGGCATTGTACCGAAAGCTAACTCGGCTGGGAGTTGGCAATCGGTACTGGGGCAGTACTGGGATCGGTACTAAGGCAGTACTGGGATCGGTACTGAGGCAGTACTGGGATCGGTACTGGGTACAGAAAGTCTGTATTGGTCCAGTACTAGCATTACTTTAATAACTACGTAAGAAATATTCCTCTCTCCTAATTTCTATTTGATAATAATGGATTAAGCCGTTTTCTTCATGATGTTTCAAAATTCCGAGAACAAATTGACAGACATACCGACAGACAGACATAGAAATTTTTGAGACCACTTTCTCCACAATGAGCACGAATAGCAATAGTTATCAAGGAAATATGTAAGTTTATGCAGTGTACAGACAAAAATTTAATTTATTTAAATGAATTAGAATAAAAACACAATATACATTACGCAACAAAATTATCACAACAAAATTTTTCATCGAAATTTTACTATTTTTCAAATGCGTATAACTCGGTCAATTTTCATCGTATCAAGACGATTTTTTTTTCATTTTGTAGGTAATTATCTGTATTTTAAGAAAAACTCGATGCGAAATTAAGTGCAAGTCGGTGCCGCATCTCTATGTTTTGATAAAACTCAAGCATTTTTTTTTCTTAAAAATTTGATTGTTTGACGCGCTACCTGGATCACTCCGATTTTTTTTCGAAAATACCACATAGACCATTGTAAAGTACTTTTCAACAAACAATTTGAAAAAAAATTCGAGTCTCTACGATTTTTTTTGACCGAGTAATGCCATTTTGAAGTTATTCGGGCATTTTTAAGGAATACCGCCAGCATTAGCATTAACCGATACGTACCGCGAGGAGATTGCTGGTCGGACTTTACGCATCATTTTGGCCCTGAAAAGGGCTAATTATGTAAACCATTTGTCAAATTAGGGACTCCGTGGCTCGTCACTTCCACAGTATTTTCTGACTCCAAACCCTATTTGCCTAATGCCAGAGCGGTCAAGTGTTAGAGGCGTTCAATACGGTGTATTACCACCTCGGTGTCGAATAACCTCCGCTAAACGTTCTTGCATATTAATGCATGCTCTGATTGAATCTTGAGGTATCTCGTGCTAGATTTTATGTAGAGCTCTCTCAAGCTCTTGCAGATTAGCAGGAAGCCTCTCCAAGTTACGTAATCTCCTACCTATCATGTCCCATACATGCTCAATAGGATTGAGGTCTGGGCTGTTAGATGGATGAGGCAGTAACTGTATATTGTTTACTGCCAAGTACTCACGAGTTACCCTCGCAATATGGGGAAGTGCATTATCCTGCATCAAGATGAAATCACGGCCTATTTGTCGGCGCATTGGAATCACGCAAGGACGCAAAACTTCGTTTGTAACGTACCGCTGTGAATCCTGGGGGTTGGAGAATCATTAGATCTGTTCGATGGTTCATTGATATTTCACCCCATACCATAACGGATCCTCCACCGAACGCTCGGGGTGATCCCGATTGATCACGGCTCGATTGGACACCACCAATCACAGCGACCGGTGCTTAGGAGCTTTGTAGTCTCAAGCGCTGTGAGTGACTCGTGTCCAATTGAGCCGTGTCCAACTGGGTGCCACCCAAACGCTCGAGTTGGATCAACATGACTCGCTTCAAAACGTTCTCGTCTACGTCGCCAAATTCGGATCCTAGCATCATTCCCAAACAGACAAAATCGAGATTCGTCTGTAAACAACACATTTCTCCACTGTCTGGCCATCCAGTTTCGATGATTACAGGTGTAACGTAGACGAGTTTGTCGATGCACTGTTGTCAACATAGGCACTCTAGCACGAATTTGTGATCTTAAACCTCTTCGTGAAGGCGTCTTCTTATCGTTTGAGTACTAATCGTCTGTCTGGTAAAGCTTCATTCCCGATTTGTTGCGCAACTCTTGTTGGGACACGCAGAGCTTCATTGACAATGTTGCGATCCTCCCAATTCGTAGTTACCATAGGTCGACCTTGACCAGGCCCCCGACGATAAGAATCTGTTTCTTGATACCGACTAAAAACACGCGATACCGTCGAGCGATTAATACCCATTCTTATTGTTACGGCGCTCTGACTCACTCCCGCCTCTAGCAGGGCCACAATTTGAGCAGATTGAATTTCAGTAAGCCGAGGCATTTTTAGTAAGAAAATAAAATATCCTGTGCTTTTCTGTATTTTTTTATTAGTACTCACTCTGCATAATAAAATTAATGTTCAATATGGATCTTTCCTCATAATGAGGTTTCGGCACTTGACTCTATCGCGATATTCATTAAAAACGCTCGAATAACTTCAAAATGACATTACTCGGTCAAAAAAAATTGTAAAGACTCGAATTTGTTTCTAATTGTTTGTTGAAAAGTGCACTTTACAATGGTCTATGTGGTATTTTAAAAAAAAAAATCGGAGCGGTCCAGGTAACGCGTCAAACAAAAAAATTTTTTAAGAAAAAAATGCTTGGGCCTTATCAAACATGGAGATGCGGCATCGACTTGCACCTAATTTCGCATCAAGTTTTTCTTAAAGTACAGATAATTACCTACAAAATGGTAGATAAATCGTCTTGATACGATGAAAATTGACCGAGTTATGCGCATTTAAAAAATAGCAAAATTTCGATGAAAAATTTTGTTGCGATAATTTTGTTGCGTAGTGTATTATAGGACCGTGATAACAACAATATGTGATAACACAAACTGTAGAAATCAGCGCTTTACATGGTCTAGCTGGATCTTAAATGCTTCTATGATTCTGTGTGAATTTACATACTACGTATGTAGTCTTTTTGAAACGCATGCCGAAATAATTTTTCAGTCTTCGAAACGTTAACTCTAATAAACTATCGCATCGATAGTTTAAAGGCTTCGTACGCTCGCACGGAATGCAAAAGATCCGAGTTCGACTCCCGGCCGAGGTAATATTTTTCGCAATAAGAATTAATTGTTTACAGATTTTAATATGTCTTTCAACATTATTAAGAACGTTTGAAGATGCGGAAAAGCATAAAAAATTCTTAAATTGCTAAGGCAATTTAACTCATGATGTTACTGCGGTAGTTTATTAGAGTTAGCGTTTTAAAGACCGAAAAATCATTTTGGCGCGCGTTTCAAAAAGACTACATACGTAGTATATAAATTCACACAGAATCATAGAAACATTTAAGAATCCTGCTAGTCTGTGTAAGGCACTGATTTCTATAGTTAAAATAAAAACAGTTTTGAAAAATGATAACTTTCTTATATATGTTAGTAATTAATTTTTGGAACAAACTTTTATAATAAACACTTTTAAAATGTAATTTATTAATTTATTAACACAATAGAATTACCAAATATAAATACCAATTACCAATTATCAGTACAAATACAATTTATATTAATCTCTTTTTTAATACTCTCTCGTTTATATCATATGGTTTGCTTCGTCAGTTATTACGTTTTTATTCCTTTGCTATTTCCCACGATCTCCTGCATTGGATAACCAACGAGAGATGTAGCTATTGAAATCTTTTATTGAAATCTCGGTAAATTTTTCAAATGTAATTTCTGTAATATAAAATATAAAATTAGTTATGCATATAAAAATTATGTGTTAAATTAATTAAAATACAAATTTTCAATGTGCTTTGCATATAACAATTACTTGCCTTTTAAGATGTTATATGTTTTTGTCTTTAAAAAATCTTCTTTTCTCTCTCCCTTTGTAATACGGCCAAATTCGCTAAATCGGATTTGGACATTTTTTGTTATTATCACAGGCAGAACTGCATTAACGGTTGTTTTGAAATCTGGCAGCAAGTTAGAATTGAGCAGCATAAATGATTTCTGAAAAAATTAATGAATGTTAAATGAATACTCGCAAAATGATCAACGTTATCAGTGAAACGTTGATCAGGGAAGCGCGCTAAACTGACTGAAAGCTACAAAGACGAATTTGATCTACAGTAGACCGCACGGTTCGTTAAAAACGAGTAATTTATTTTAAAGTAAATCGAAGTGGAGGTCGCACAATTCAATCAAGAGAGCCGAACAAGCTTTGCATTTCTAAAATTTCAAAAATTAATTAAATAATATAAAATTAAAGAATCTAATTTAAAAAGTTTATTAGTCACAAGAAAACCATTATTGAAATGGTACAATTAAATTGACCAGAATTTGTTATTTTAGTTTAAACTTTGGTTAAACTAAATACAGATTTACTGAAGTTTCGTATTATTTCAACTAAAATTTCTTACACAGACCATAAATAATAGTTAGTTCAACCAGCAATTCTACTTAAAATAATTAGGTTTTATAGTGCAGTTAGAAATTGTAATTAAATAACTAAAAAGGAACCGAGTAAGTAATTATTTAACTGTTCGATTTTTTGTTGATCTGTTTTTTATTTCATCATTAATTTTTTAAGTATTTGTACCACTAAAGAACATTCTACGAAAGATTGTAGCAAAATTAAATAGTAAATTGAACTAAACTAAATAAACGGAGAAGAAAGTAATTAAATTATATTAGATAAAAATAAATTTGAAGAGTGTTTTAAGCTGACTTTTTTTTAATTATAAAAAGAGAAAGGTCTTGAAATCAGAGAAAATATTTAATTCGTAATAAAATTACATGAAGATAAATTTTAAAGACAAAATGAACTGTGTAAAAACTGACGAATGCAAACAAATATTGTGATTATACATACTAACGCTATCATTAATTTCATTTAACTAGGTTTTAAAACGCTGAAAATCTTTTAATGTCGTCATTGGTAAGGGCGGTAAAATCTCACTCTGTTTTAGGGTTTAGCCAATTTTGGATTTATTTGCAGCCTTCACCATTATTTTCAATTCATTAATTTTTTTATTCAAATAGAGTATACTTCTCTTTACACTTTCAAGCTTCGTCTCGAAAGCCTTACTTCATCTTTTTTAATTTAACTGAAACATATTAAAATTAAGCATTGAAGCTCATGAAAAGAGATCACAAGATTTTATGTGAAAATTGGTTTTAAAATACCCTGTAGTTGTAGACAAGAAGAGCACCTTCTCTGCAATCCCGTACTTATTTATTAATCACCTTGTGCTTTTTTCAAACTTTTTTTATCCGAAGTAAGGCCTTTATCATTGTTTCTTTTAGAAACGAAGGAAGTCGCTGAATCGTCAAA